GAGGGGAGGAGCCTGCAGGGGAGGGGAGGAGCCTGCAGGGTAAAGGATGAGACTTCACAGGAGGGGAGGAGCCTGCAGGGGAGGGGAGGAGCCTGTAGGGGAGGGGAGGAGCCTGCAGGGGGGGAGGAGCCTGCAGGGGAGGGGAGGAGCCTGCAGTGCAGGGGAAGGGACTTCACGGGAGGGGAGGACATTGCAGAGGAGGGAGGATGGAGGGGAGGGGAGGAGTTTGTCACTTCCCTCCTGCCCAGCAGCTTGAGCGCAGGTCTTCGGGTTGGCAGCGCAGCTCCTTCCCAGCAGGCCACCAGCGCTCCTTATAACATGATGCGGAGTTTGGAATATTGTGAGGACAGAATGGTGGCACTGAGATGTGAAGTGCTCACTGTGGGAACGGTGTGGACCAGTCAGGGCACATTTGGTGCCCTTGCATCTGCAGGGCACAGTGGGCCGGGCACCCTGAGCACCGCTCCACCCTCCTCCCTGCTCCTCTCCCTCCAGGCTGGGCATCTCCTTCGCCTACTATGGGGTGATCCTGGCCAGCGCCGAGCTGCTGGAGCGGGACCTGGTGTGCGGCTCGCGCTCGGAGTCCGAGGTGGCAGTGCCCGTGGGGGACTCGGAGGAGAGCCGCAGCCCCTGCCACTGCCACATGTTCGCGCCCTCGGACTACCGCACCATGATCATCAGCACGCTGGGCGAGATCGCGCGTGAGCACCTGGGGGACCTGGGGACACCCTGCCTGGTCGCCTGGGCATGTACCAGTCGTCTGACTGGCAGGGGCAGGCGAGGCTGGAGAGTGAAGCTCAGAGTAGCTGCGATTTACCAATCTCACATACTTCCCCCCCCCCCATTTTAACATCCCTGAGATGGGGCTGCGTCTTAACAGTGCTGTTAGACTCCAATCAGAAGGGTTATTTCTGCCTTGTTGTTGTTGTTAGGTGCTGTGGGGTCAACTAAGACTTATATGGACCCTATGAACAGTGGCTCTGAACTCTGACCTTTCCTGTGCCGTCCTCAGCATCCAAAATACTTGAGCCCATTGCTGCAGGCACGGCATTAATCCATCTCTTTTTTTTTCAGAGTGGTTAGGAGTTCATCAAAATACCATTGTTAAAAAAAATACCATTGTTCATTATGTTTACTAAGTCAAAGATAACGATTCCATTATATGAATGAGAAAAACATAACATTTAACTGACTGTGTTTGATTTTTCATCTTTAATATTCATAGGGAAAGTGTGGTGTTTGTTTTTTTTTTTTAAAAAAACAACTTATCTTTTAAAATCCTAAGAGCAAGTTAACAAGTATTTAATACAAATGTTGGATGCTATGAGAGAAATAGTCACCTTTGGTCAGAAACTCACGAGATTCGGACAAGGTTAATCCATCTGGTTGAGGGTCTTCCTCTCTTCCACTGACCCTCCCCTTTCCCAGCATGATGTCCTTTCCCAAGGCCTGGCCCCTCCTGGAAACATGCCCATAGTATACGGCCCAAATCTTCACCATTGCTGCCTCTAAGGAACATCCTAGTTGCACCTCTTGAAGACATAGTTGTTCTTTTGGCAATGCATGGGATGTTCAGCACTCTCCTCTAACACAAGAGCTCAAAGGCCTGGCTTGTTCTTCTGCCATTCATAGCTCTGCTCTCAGACACATTAGCAAGTAATGGAAAAGATCATGGCTTGAATCAGGTGCACCTTAGTCTTTAGACCAACATCCTTGCTCTTCAGCTCTCTGAGTCAACTCTGACTCACTGGCCCATGTGCATCACAGAAGAACTGTGCTCCATCTGACTTTCAGTGCAGCTCATCAGGTCTCCATGGTGTCTTGGGTGGATTAGAACCCTCGACCTTTTGGTTGGCATCTGAGTACCTTAACTATTTGCCCCACACAGAGTTTCCAGGACATAAAATAGAAGTACTTAAAAATCAGCAGAAAAAAAAATAAGCAGCACCCAATCTCACAAAAACACCTTTTTTTTTTCTTTCCAATCTGCCACTCTATTTCCCCTTTGTAAGCCCCCCACCAAACCCTTGTGGAGCACAGTTCAACTTTGACACACATGGTGGCCACTGGTCAACCATGGCCGAAGCAGCACCCTGGACACGCTGCACCCTTTAAGCACAGTGGTGTAGTCATCCTCCAGCCTGGGAGTGGAGGTGCCTGGAAGGAGGGTTGGTGTGGCTGCACAGGTGACTGCTCTGGCTGGGACGTGGTGACAGGACGGGTCCATGCCAGAACTTACAGGAGCCTGTGGTCAGCCTGGTCCTGACACGGTCATTCCTTTGTAGTGAACCCTTTAAACATCCTGGGCATCAATTTCCTGGGGAGACGCCTGAGCCTCTCCATCACCATGGGCTGCACAGCCTTGTTTTTCCTGCTGCTCAACATCTGCACCTCAAGGTAGCCAGTGAGCCCTCCTCTCCTCTCTCCCTCTCTTCTCTCTCCCTGTCTCTTCTCTCTCTCCCTCTCCTATCTCTCCCTTCTCTTTCCCTCTCCTCTCCTCTCTCTCTCCTCTCTTCTATCTCTCTCTCCTCTTCTCTATCTTTTCCTTCTCTCTCCCTCTCCTCCTCCTCCTTCTCTCTCTCTCTCTCTCTCTCTCTCTCGTCCCTCTCTCTCCCTCTCCCTCCTCTCTCTCATTTCTCTCCCCTCTCTTTCTCACTTTCTCTCTTCTTTCTGCTTCTTCTATCTCTTCTCTTTCTCTCCCACTCCCACCCCATTTCTATCTCTTTCTCCCTCTCTCCTCTTTCTCTTTCTTTTTCATCTTCTCCTCCGTGCCCCTCTCTGGTCTGTACCAGCACAGATGTCTCCTGAGCCCTAGCTACTGATTGTATGAACCATCTTGTCTGGCCCATTTACTCTGCAGACTGGAAGTGGGACAGGTTTTGGGGCCTGTGAGCATGTTGAAGAGGAAAGGGGATACCTAGGGGAGGTGGGGGCAGGTGCCTGCATTGTGATCAGCACCTCCTGGGGTCTGGGTTCTCTGTGATATCATGTGTGAGGTCTGCATGGGGCCACCTGAGCACCATACTGCCTGCTACGATGTCATCCTCTGTCCCCCAGTGCTGGTCTCATCGGTTTCCTCTTCATGCTGAGGGCTCTGGTGGCTGCCAACTTCAACACCATCTACATCTACACAGCCGAGGTCAGTCTCCGTGATGCAGTGTCCTGGCAGGGAGTGTGAGGCGGGCGGCTATAAAAGCTGGGCACTTGGTGCTCCTGTTATCTGGCACTAGTGTGATGGAAGTTCCTCACGTGGGTGACTCTGACAGGCTCATTTCCTCACAGTTCAGGAGAGCAGCAGTTTAAGTCCAGTGCTAGTCCAGGGGAATCTCTCTCTCTCTCTCTGTGTCTCTGTCTCTCTCTCTCTCTCTCTCCCCCCTCTGGAGGAAGGTCCTTGTCTCTTAGAGCTTCTGCTCCTGGGTGATCCTCTCAAGCCTTCACATCTTTGCTCCTCTCAATTCTGCCTTCTCCTCCCTTGTGTCAAAAGGAGTCTATTCAAAGCACACCCTGCACTAATCCTGCCCCTTTAACACAACCAAGCCAATCCATTCCCAAATAGCATTAAGGTCACAGCATGTGGTCGGTCTTAGGTGCCATCCAGTCCACTGCTGTTCGGAGTGACCCTCTGTTCCACAGACCCTAACACCACGTGGTCCAGCATTATCCTCACAATCATCACTGTTTGAGTCCATTGCTGCAGCCATGGTGTCACCCCACCTCTGAGTGTTGTCGTCTCAATCAGTGACCTTCGACTTTACACATGATCCTTCTCCAAGCATGGGTCTCTCCTGATAAGACATGAGGTTGCTTCAAACAAATATTCCGGTTGTGCTTCTTCCCAGTGGGTGTGTTTGTGCTGGCAGCCCCAACACCGATAGAGTTCAAACTCAGCAGTCTTCTTTGGTCTTCCTGATTCATTGCTCAGTTACCACATGTGTCCGAGATGACCGAGACTAATGCAATATGCTGTTTGATTTCTTGGCTATTGCATCCACAGGAGGTGATTATGAATCCAAGTACAATTAAATCCCAGGCAAGTTCGATGTCTTTCTCTGTGTTTCATGATGCTTCTTATTGGTCCAGTTGTGAAGGGTTTTTGTTTTATGTCGTAGTGTAATTCATGCCAAAGGCTGTAGTCTTTGAGTTTCATCAGTGAATGCTTCAAGTCCTCTTCACTTTCAGCAACTAAGATTGTGCCATCTGCATGCCACCGATTGATCATGAGTCTTGTTTCAATCCTGATGTCATATTCTTCAGATAGTTCAGCTTCTTGAGGATTTGCTCAATATACAGGTTGAATAAGTGTGGTGAATGAATACAGTCCTGACCCACATCTTTTCTGATTTTAAACCATGAAGTATTCCCTTGCTCTGTTCGAACAACTACCTCTTGTACATACACGTTCTGCAGGAACACAATTAAGTGTTCTGAAATGCCCATTCTTTTCAGTGCTATCCAGGACTTATTATGAACCGCACAGTCAAGTGTCTTTACATAGGTAAACAAGATCCATCCAAGATCAACAACGATATCTTTGGTTCCACTTCGTCTTCTGAATGCCGCTTACATTTCTAGCAGTTTGCTGTTGATATATTGTTGTGTTTGTTAATTATTTATAGCACAAGCTAGGCATCTCTAGTGTCTTAGTAGTGAGAAGGTGCACTACTAAACCGCAGGTACTAGGTTCAAATCCCCCAGCTGCTCTGCAGGAGAAAGATAGTCAATCTTCTCCCATACGATTTAGCACTTCTGAAAACCAGCTAGAGGGTCAGCTATGAGTTGCTTCTGACACAACAACAGCAGCAAAAGCTGGCAGCTCTGGTGGCCTACTAGTAAGACGTTGCACTGTTTACCTCAAGGCAGGAGGTTCAAATCCACCAGCTACTCTGGGAGAAAGATGAGCAATCTCTCCCATGCTATTTACAGCCTCTGAAAACCCACTGGAGGGCCAGCTACGAGTCAGTCCCAACTCGAGAGCACACACAACAACAGCAAACGTTTATTTGAGAATGTCTTCATTCTGTTGAATAATCTTTATTTGGGAGTGGGCACGAATATGGACCTCTTCCAGTTGGTTGGCCAGGTAGCTGCCTTCCAAGTTTCATGGCGTAGACAGATGAGCTCACCCAAGGCTGCAGCTGTTTGCTGGAAGCTGTCTATCGGCTCCTGGGGTCTTGCTCTTCCCCAGTGCTTCCAGGGCAGCGCAAACTCTTTCCTCCATATCTTCAGCTCTTGACCATATGCCACTTCCTCAAGTGGCTGAACACGGTCCAGTTCTTTTTGGTTCAGTGACCCTGCAGATTCCTTCCATGATACTTCCTGCCTCATTCACTATTTCAATAGTGTCCTTCGGTCTTGCAATTCAAGGCTTGAATTTTCCCTCAATTCAAGGCTTGGATTTCCCCCTTATTATCTTTCTGCTTGAGAAATGCTGAGCTCATTCTTCCCCTTTGGGTTCCTGATCCCAGCTCTCCTCATGTTGTTCTAACGCTTCTCTGTCTTCTCGAGCAGCTCTTTGAAATCTGTGCGGCTCTCTGCCTCATTTCTTCCTGCTCTTCTTCCTTGCTCTGTAACTATTCTACGTGCAAGAACCAGAATTACAGGTATAGAAGTTAGGGTTCACAGTGCATGATTTGGGGGGATGTGATGTAAAGTGTAACACTTGGTTTCTGTCGGCTTTCTAAATTCATTTTGCTGTTGTTGAGAAAATAGATAACAAATGACATAGCAGCTCATGTTTCAATGTGGACAATTCCATGACACTGATGATGTCTGTCAGATCACACAGCCACTCCCAGCCTCGTCTCTGACCGTCCCTCCCTCAGGCACACCACCTCACCACCCCAGGCCTCCTACCTACCTAGACTTTAGAGTTGCCATTGTAAAGGGTCCCCTTCAGGCAGATCTCTAAAGAGAACTTACATTCGGCTTCCTTTACCAACTAAGCTAAACCACTGTTTGGTTTTAAGAGATTAAATATTATTGTTATGGCACTATAGTAGAGTGGACTTGGAGGAGAGGGACTGAAGAACAATGAAAGAATATTCTGTTTTACTTTTCAAAGCAAAAAGCTAATTGGTGGGAGGGGTAGACAGGGAGAAAAGTGCAACAATGAATGGATAGAAATCCAAAGTCTCTGTAAACTTTAATTAAAATCAATTTAAAATAAATAAAAAAGGGAACAGTGTGGTTTCTTTAAACATTTGAAATTAAATTGTCATTGATTTTTTTTTTTTTTAGTAAAAGATCTAAGGCATAAAATACACCACTTAAAGACAGTTTTATGTGGATGCCTTCATGACATTAATTTCATTCACCATATTGTGTAACCATCGCGATTATCAAGTTTCATCACAGATCAGACATTGGGAACCTCTTAAGCAATGATACACAGCTTAGTGGGTTTTACTATAAATGTACAAACACGGCAACAGTGGAGCCACGTGTACCCAAAGACGCAGAGAGGAGTGAAGAGGAAGAGAAGGCAGAGGATGTTGGAGAACACACGCGTTGTCCTGGGCACGCTTGTCCATCCCCTTCGCCGTAGCCGCCAGGAGGGCCCTGGGGTCGGTAGTGTGGAAGGCATTTCCTTGCCATTCTGCAGAAGTCCCCTCACGCAGCGGCATCACAATTGCAGCTCGGAGGTGGGAGTCTTCTGTGCGATTCAGGGGCTTGTGTTTCTGCCCAAAACCAAGAGAAAAGGGACTCGGAAGGGGAATTACCAACTGACTGTGCCCTTGTGCTCCTCCCCCCAGGTCTACCCCACCACGATGCGTGCCTTGGGGATGGGGACCAGCGGGTCCCTCTGTCGCATTGGAGCAATGGTGGCACCATTCATCTCTCAGGTACAGCTCGGGCCAGGATTGACACTCAGGGGTGGGCACAGAGGGACCTGGGTCTCGGCTGAGAAGTTTCCTCAGTGGTGCATGTGGTTCCCAGTCAACCATGGACCCACCCACTGCCACACGGAAGAAAGGCTTGGCAATGGACTTAGGCAGAAACCGCAGCCAAGAAACCCTGTGTGACAGCTCTGCTCTTTAACTTTTGCTTTAAGTTGTAACCACCTTGACAGCAATGCTTGTTTTCAGCTGATCTCTGGAGGTTAAAACTACACCCAAGGATTTCTGTTGACTTGATGAGCTTTCTTGAGGGGCACTGGTGGGGTGAGGGGCTCGTTTGATGTCAGTACCCTTCCAGATTTCCATTTTGCCAGTAAACCATGAGGTATTGAAGGCAGAATTCGCTTAGCTTCTCACTGGGTGACAGGGGAGTATGCCAAAGAGACAGGAGCTGGTGGGCTTCCTCACTGACACCCAGGTGTGTGGCTGGGCACACATGGAGATGTCATGCAATGAGGTTAGTTTGAAGGGCAGGGAGGTGGCACTGGGTGGCATAAAGTAGCCCAGGTAGATTAAAATCAGGGCTGTGAATGCATCCAGAAGGGCGTAGTCATTTCTATCGTAAAGAAGAGCTGCGTGGCCACTCCACTCGCTGCCCGTGTATTTTGAACCCACTAGGAAACTCTGGTGGCCTAGTGGCAAGATGCTGTGTTGAAATCTTGAAGGCATGTGGTTCAAATCCATCAGCTTCTCTGCGGGACAAGGATGGGCAATCTCTTTCCATACAATTAACTGCCTATGAAAACCCTCTGGAGGGTCAGCTATGGGTCAGCTGCAACTAGACAGTACACAACAACAGAAAATAAACAGTGGTTTTGCCAAGAAAACAAAAATTCTCACTTCCAGGCTGATAGGCAACATCATGGAAGATGGAGAAGAGATTGAAATTGTCAACAACTTCATCTTGCTTAGATCCACAATCCACACCCTTGGTTCCAGCAGTCAGGAGATGTATCAACACTGGGAGAAGTCTGCAATCGCAATTGGGGACCTTCCAAATTATTGAGAAACAATGATGTCAGTTTGAGGACAAAGGTGCATCTGATTCAGGCCATGGTCTTTTCAATCACTATGCATCGGAGAGCTGGACAATGAATAAAGATGACAGCAAGAGAAATGATGCCTTTTATCCTGTGGTGTTGAAGAAGAGTATGGACTTCCAAAAGAACAAACAGACAAGACAAAGTATGGAGTCTGCGTATGGAGTCTGCGCCCTCCTGGGAGACAAGGACGATGAAGCTTCATCTCACTTTGGACATGTTGCTAGAAAAGTCTAATCCTCGTACGCCAGTGTTCATAACAGTGTTATTCACCATCGCAAGAAGAATAAAAAGGTGCAGATGTCCAACCACATCGCATGGATTGAGAAATTGTGGTACATTCAAACAATGGAATACTACGCAGCACGCAGGAGCTGTGATTTTGTTATTATCTAACTTGGGAGGGACTGGCGAGCAGCATACTGAGTGAACTATCTCAGTCCCACAAGGACAAATATTGTGTAAGACCATTATTGTAGAATGAGTACGAGGATCCAAGGGAGTGGGAAGGGTGGAAGCAGAGGGATGAGGATGTGCAGGGGGACGAGGATTAGTGGTGAGGTTGTACAATTTGATGGGCGGGGGTGAGGGAAATTGGAAGAATCTGGTCTGAAAAACAACATATTTGAATCTTGTAAATAAACTAGTATGGGACATAATGCTTAAAGAAGTCCTTCAACAAGATGGTCTGACACAGTGGCTGCCGGATTGTGTGTCAGAGATTGTGAGGATGGCACAGAACAGGATAGGGTTCAGATCTGGTGTTCTTAGTGTCGCTATGAGTCATACACGACTCGACAGCACCTAACAACAAGAAGGAAACAAACAGCTGTGCCTGCCCAGAGCTGGCGCCTGACCCTGCTGCTCTCCAGAGGGCTGCAGCGGTCTGTCCCCTGCAGCCATTTCCAGGTGCCATCAGGATGAAGGGCTGTGGCAGGACTTTGAGAGAAGAGCAGCAGACTGGGTCACTAGGCAGTGCTGATTCAGCCCTTGTGTAGAACGGCAGCCACTGAACCATCTGGAAGTCATTCAGAGCCCTGGTGAAAATCCAGGGTGTCCAGACATTGTGAAAAAGGTCTCATCCTGGAGGAGAAACAGGTGACCTCAAGGGCCCTGGTACTTTGGCAGGTGGGTGGTTGCTACGGGCACCCACATCAGGCAGCCCTGGTCCCAGCCATCTGGGGGACACTCGGCAATCCTGTATGCTCTGCTGACTCTCTGACCAGTGTCTAGGTGGCCCAGGCCTGGCTGGTGTCCAAGCACGAGCTGTAGCTGTTGTGGACAGCACTCAGAGCCATGTGCAAATGTGTCTGGGCTGGAGGTGGCTGTAGACAGTGTTTGGGTGTGGTCAGCCCAATTTACAGAGATTTTGCTACATGGGCTTTGTAACTGAGGAGCAGGTGGTATGTGTTATAACTCTCACCTTCTGCACAGGAGATCTGCTTTGTATCCAATCATGCACCTACATTCAGCCACCACCATCTGTGAGTGGATGCCTGTGTGTGGCTGTGAAACTTGGCAGGTTCCGGTGGAGCTTCTCAACCAAGATGGACCAGGAAGAAAGGCCTGGCAATCAATTGGAAGCAGCCCATAGGAGGCTTGTGAATCACATGGTCCTGACTCAGGTTGGGTGCACGCCCATGTGTGGGCAGGAGCCCTGTGAGTCCAGTGACAGGACCCCAGCTGACAATCATTCCACGTTGCCAAGTGAGCGGAGGTTTCGGGAATTCTGGGAAACTCTTCTTGTTCCGGATCAAGCTGGAGGGAGAAATGCTAAGTTAGATCACATAGCAAATTTACATTTGGCACAGAAAAAAAGAAGTGATCGTGGATCAGAACAGGACACAACAGCCGCCTCTGGGATAAGGGTGGCCGCTGAGCAGGGGCTTTGGTGGACGAGTGCGGGTCCTTCTCTGGCACCCCTGAGGGCAGTGAGGGGTACGGGAATGGCTGGGCACTCCTGGAGCTTCTGGGAACAGAAATCCCTCGAAGCGTCAGGGCTTCCTGTCTGAGCTGAACACAGAGCAGCCGCACCTGAGACGTGGTTCGTGGCAGTGTGGATGCTTATTGGCTTTTGGGTGGTTTAAGAGATTTCCCAAGGCAGTGTCAAGGGCGTGTGAGGAAATGAAGAGCTCATCTCATGGACTTCGGACGTGGTATCAGGAGGGGCCAGTCCTGGAGAAGGACAGTGAGGCTCGGAGAAGAGAAGAAGGCCCTCGAGTGGACTGACATGATAACGGCAGTGAGGGCTCAGTGCCACAGAGGCTGTGCGGATGGAGGGATCCGCCCTGTGTCCTGTTTACGTCGGGTGTGTGGGGTGGGGTGGGGTGTTGTTCTGTTGTGTGTAGGGTCTCTGTGGGTTGGAGCTGACTTGACATCACCTGACAATACTAATGACACAAATGACTAGCATTTTAAAAAAATAATTATCGAGGGTTTTTTTTTGGGGGGGGGGGTTGGTTTTTGGGAAAGTCAAAAGTTTTAATCCAGATTAATAACAAAATATAGTTAAGACAGCTCCTGAAATGTACACACAGGCACCTCAGTCTCTAGCCTCATGGCTTCTGGCCGGTGTTCCTAAGTTCTTAGTGCTGCCAATATTAGCTTCCCACGCCTAGGTGTTCAACAAAGTTCTTAGCCCTGCCAATAATGGCTCTTCACAAGGTCCCATCTCATGTCAGGTTTCCAGTTTGGCCATACGTGTTGCTGCAAAAAAGAATTATCGCGTTTTTAGAGAAATCTTCTATCTCACTACTTACCAAACAAATCCTCCGCCATCGAGTGGATTCGTCACAGCCCCACAGGACAGAGAACAACTGCTCCACTCTGTTCTCCAGGCTGCAGTCCTTCTGGAAGCGGAACGCTACATCTTTCTGCTGAAGAGCGAGCAGCCAGTGAGCTCCAATCCCTGAACTTTCAGTCAGCAGCCTGCCGCTTAATCACTGTGCCACCAAGTCTCCTTTCCTCATACTAAGAGATGAGCGCTCTGGTGGCTTAGTGGGTAAAGAGATGCACTGCCAACCCGAAGGCAAGTGGTTCAAGTCCATCAGCTGCTCTGAGAGGGAAAAGATGACCACTCTCCTCCCATGTGATTTACAGCCTCTGAAAACCAGCTGGAGGGTCAACATTGAGTTGGTTCCAACCCAAAGGCAAGGAAAGAGAGGAGATAACAAATGTATTTCTTTTTTCTTTTGACAAATGTAATTTTTAAAACTCTTTGAACGTGTCTGTGAGTTCTGAGGCATGATGGTCAAGACAGTGTCTGTTAATGGAAAAGTTGGATGTGACCTCCACAGCAGTTCTGAAGGTCTGGTAGAAAGATGGAGCAGATTAGATTAGAACCCTGGAAAACCTATCGGGTAGTTCTACTCTGTTCCTCCAGAGTCACTAGAAGTTATTGTAGACTCAGAAGTAGTGGTTTGAATTGTTTGTGATCAAAAAACAAAACAAAACAAAACAAAAACAAAAACAAAAAAACACCCACGAATCCGTGTGTTGAGTAAAATGTTTGTGAAGTTTGGCTCTATGAAGGAGCGTGTGGCATCAGAATTGGCAGAAGATTCATCAATAACCTTTCTTATATAGATGACACAGCCTTGCTTGCCGAAAATAAGGAGGACTTGAAGCACTTGCTCCGGAAGGTTAAACATTGCAGCCTTTAATATGGATTGCGTCTCAATATCAAGAAAGCAAAAATCCTGACTGCTAGCTCAATAGTCAACATCATGAAAGATGGAGAAAAGATTGAGACTGTGACTTCATCTTACATCCCCTATCAATACACTTGGTATCAGCAGTCAGGAGACCAGGAGACGTATTGCACCGGGAAAGTCTGCAGTCAGGAATCCCTCCAAATTACTGAGGAGTAATGATGTGAGTTTGTGGATAAAGGTGCACTTGATTCAGGCCATGATCTTTTCAGTCACTTGCTATGCATCTGAAAGCTGGACACTGAATAAGGATAACAAAAGAAGAATTGGTGCCTTTGAATTGTGGTATTGGAGAAGAGTGCTGAATAACCTGTGGACTGCCAACAGAACAAACATATATGTCTTTGAGAAGGTACAGAGTGCTCCTTGGAGGCAAAGATGATGAATCTTTGTCTCACATGCATAGGGCATTTTGATAAGAGAGGTTATTCCTTAGTGAGGGACGTGATGCTTGGAAAGGTGGAAGGTCAATGAAGGAGAGAAAGACTTTCAATCAGGTGGATTGACACATGACTGTAGCAATGGGCTTGAGTGTGTCAGAGATTGTGAGGATGACACAGGAGAGGACAGGACAGGATTTAGATCTGCTGTTCATAGTGTCACTGAGTCATACTCAACCCAATAACATTTAACAACATCAACATATATATGAATCTGTTTATGTACTTTCACCCACCTTGATCATCAAAAACTCAAACTCACTGCTGTCTAGCAGGTTCTGACTCACAGTGAGCCTCCCTAGGGCTTCTGTGGCTGTAAACTGTAATGGGAGGAGTCCGCCCATCACTGTCCAGCAGAGCTGAGGGTGGACTCAGACCCCTGGAGAGGCACAGCCTTTGGTGAGGAGTACAGCTCACAGCCTATGCCGTCAGGGCTAGTTAACAGAATCACGGTTCTTACGTACTTTATAATCTGTGCTTTTGCACTCAACATTTTGCATTTTTTCCCCATTAAGAATGAGACACAAGCTCTTTGTGATGCTGAAAGATGTTGCGTTGTATACAGATGGTCCTCAGATACTGCAGGGGAGGGGGGGCAGTCCAGACCACTAGGGTAAAGCAAATCATGCGGATTGTTGGGTTTCCCAGTGCATATTTTTCCTACACAAAGAGGCCTTTCCACAGTTACGATGTCAGGTATATGACTGAGACAGAACTGCTTTATCCAGGTACTTTATTAACAGATCCAGAAGGTAGTAAGATTGTCTTCCAAGACTGTCTCTCTTCTTTCCAGACTGTTAATGATTTTATACCTTAATCAGCAACCAATTTACTTGACATTTCATTATTTTTTGCCAGAGTTAGAAGGCTTCTCCTTCTGGGAGACAGTATATATCTCACTAAAACAGACACTCTTCCACACAGTGCCTACGTTTTCAGGTCTACTCAAGCAGACAGTATTCAGACTCCAGCCTGTTTGGTACATAGTTAACTAATGCATAGTTAATGATCACATAGGTGATCATCTGCCGTACTTAAGACAGATAGTTCTTTTGATCTGCACCTGAGATCTTTCATCTCTAAACCATAACATCTGCTTACAGTATGAGACCATAGGAGGACTTTAACGATTTTTTTAAATTATTATTAAATTTTATTAGTTTTAATGAACATTTACAGAGATTTTGGGTTTTCATTCATTCATTGTTGTACTGTTTTCTCCACCCTCCTCCCCAGTTCGTTCTTCTTCCCCCCACCCACGAATGTCTGTTTTAATTGTCCAGTTGCCACAGTGCTTGTCAAAGCCAGTTCTGATTAATCTCCTTTGTCAGTGTGTCCCTTGCCATTCGCTATCACTCCTCCCTGAGAGAGACTTCACCCTGATTCATAAGGAAAAGGGGATGGCGTATTCTCTTAGCTACTTCCTGCTGAAAAGGGACGCTGTGGGTTTCAGGGTGAAGATCTTCTCTCACTACTCTAAAGGGCCCCTTTGGCAGTAGGAAACACGTAGACTATTATGGAGATTGATTTTGGAATTTAGATGCACTGTTACCAATTGTGCTTAGCCGTGCATGTTGACTTTAACGATTTTATAAAGAACTATTTATGACTCTTGCTTAGCTAATTTATAAATCAAAGTCTAGAGGATCTAAACGAGAGTTAAACAGGGTGCAAGACTTCAATTTCATTCAACTATGTTCCGTGTTATATATGGATAAAAGTCAGTCCTGAACTTTATTAACGCTGTCCTATCTTTCAATATGAGAGGGATGCTGACAGTGCTATAGTCTGCCGACCCTGTGATCTCGTCTATCGTGTGCAGTTGTTGTTGTTAGGTGATACAGAGTCAAGTACAACCTATGGCAAACCCATGGATAACAGATCTGAACCTTGTCCTATCCTGTGCCATCCTCACAATCTCTCACACCCTTGAGCCTATTTGCTACAGTCGTCAACTCATGTGGTTAAGGCTCTTCTCTGTCAGCCCTCCACCTTTCCAAGCATGATGTCCCTCTCCAAGGAATAGCCTCTCCTAACAACATGTTCAAAATACGTGGAACGAAGTTTCACCATCTTTGCCTCCAAGGAGCATTCTGATTGCGCTTTCTCTAGGATACATCTGTTCTTTTGGCAGTCCATGGGATATTCAGTACTCTTGTTTCAATACCACAACTCAGAGGCATTGGTTCTTCTCCTGCCATTCATGTTCATTGTCCATATCTCAGATGCATAGCAGGTGATTAGAAAGACTGTGGCCTTAATCAAGCATACCTTAGTCCTCAAACCAACATCATTGCCCTTCAGTAGTTTGGAGAGGTTGCCGACAGCAGACTCTCCAAAAATATACATCTATCTCCTGACTGCTGGAGCCAAGAGTGTTGACTGTGGATCCAACCAAGATGAAATCTAATTACTGCTAGAAAGGGGAATAGAGAAAAAATGAAACAAGGTCACTACCACCACAACCCCCAAAATTCATAGCTGTGTGTGAACGATAAAGGATCTTTTCTAGGGGGTTGGGTAGAGGATGCCAGAGGAGACCAGCCTGGGGGGCTTTCTGAGACAGTGATTTGAACCCACATCAGGCCAGCACACAGGTAAGAATGTCCATGGTCCCTACTTTTGCTCTGAAGCATCTTCCTCATCTTGTCAGGACTGAGGTCACTTGGGGCAGCATGAGGTAAGAGAGTTAGAACCAGCACAGGAGAGATTCGTGTTTTCGGGGAGTAGGCAGGTGGCCCTTACACTGCAGATGCAGGAGGGCTTGGTAACAGAGAAGAGGTGCAAGATGACTGCATCTGAGCCTGAAGAGGGAGCCCCCAAATTCTGACCAGCTCAGCCCAAGTCAGTGGGCTGAGACCCTCAGGGGCTACCCCGACCCTCACAGATGTATCTGGGGAGAGGAGCCTTGCTTTCTCTGTTACTGAGGGACTGTAGTGATGACCTAGGCTGTCCCTGTACCTCACAGGTCCTCATGAGTGCCTCGTTCCTGGGTGCCCTGTGTCTGTTCTCATCTGTCTGTGTGGTCTGCGCCATCTCTGCATTTACCCTGCCCATCGAGACCAAAGGGAGAGCCCTGCAGGTAAGCCCTGTGCCCTGCACCCACTCACCGCCACCAGGGTCCCTGAGACTGGAGGACGGGCTCACTGCAGACTCCCCACATACTCACTGCAGGTTCACTGCGTGTTCACGGTGCACTCACTACAGGCTCACTGCGTGCAAACTGCAGGCTTACTGTACACTCACTGCAGGCTCACTGTGTGCTGACTGTATACTCACTGCATCTTCACTGAGTGCTCACTAAGGGTTCACTGTGTGCTCACTGCAAGGCTCACTACGTACTCACTGTGCTCACTGCAGACTCCCTGCTTACTCACCGCATGCTCAGTACATGTTCACTGTATTTACTGTATACTCACTGCAGGCTCACTGTGTGCTCACTGCAGGTTTATTACATGTTCCCTTCAAGCTCACCACACGTTCACTGCGTGCTCACTGCATGCTCACTGCTAACTCACTACGTTTTCCACTGTGATTACTGCATACTTGCAGCTAGCTCAATGCATGTTAAGTGTCTTCACTGTTAGCTAACTGCACACTCACATATTCACTGTGTTCACTGCATACTTACAGCTAGCTCAATGCATGTACAGTGTTCACTGCATGCTCACTGCACACTCACATGTTCATTGTGTTCAGTACATGCTCACTGCACACTCACCACATGTTCACTGCATGCTCACTGCACACTCATTACATGTACAGTGTTCACTGCATACTTGCAAGTTAGCTCAATGCATGTTCATTGTATTCACTGCATGCTCACTGCATGTTTGTTGAGTGCATTGAGGTGATGAGCAAGGCTTGTCTCCTTAGGGCCTCTCCAGATTCCAACTCCCTGGCTTGAGGAGTTTCGCCTGTCCTCCCTGACTGTGAGAAAGGACTGGTGATGTGCTGTGATCACACAGGTCAGAGTGAAGGGCCACTTTGTGTCCAGAGGGAAAGATGGCCTTCTGTGATCTACAGAACTTTCCTTGTCCAAGGACAGAAGCCAGGCACTCCTGTGGGGAGCTGGGAAAGTAGAAGACCCTTTCGATGTAAAGTGGTGGGCCATGGGCTCCACTGTGCCAGCTTTGGTTGGTCAGATGCCATCGCTTTGATAAGAGGCAACATCAGCCTCTTGTTAATCTTTAGACCTTGAGGATACATGGTGGCCAAGTGGGTTAAGAGTTGGACAGTTTAAACCTGTTAACCCCTGTGAAAGATGGAGCTGTTTGCTTCAAGGAGGAGCCATAGCTTTGGAAACATTCGAAGACGTACTGTTCTGTCCGTGGATCCCTGTGGTTCAGAATTCCCTGGATGGTAGTGAGAATCCTGGCCCTGGTTTAGGACTGATGTCTAACCTTAAATTCTCAGCCACTGCATTTGCCTAAAGGGGAGGCAGTAGGCATAGCTGGCCTCTTGGGACTTGTGGACAGAGGCCCTCAGCAGGGTACTGCTGTCCCTCAGGTCTGAGGCCTCCAGCAACGAGGGCGATGAAACCCAGCTTTGCAGCTGTGGCTTGAATCATGGGAATGGGTGAGCGCTGTAAGTTTGTGTGTCCATCTGATGATCGCTTTGCTGCAGAGCTCAGGCCCCAGGCCAGAGGCTGCTGAGTGCAACACAATCAAGAGGGCATGATGCTCGTGTGTCAGCTGGCACTGTGCCACTCACCACCTGGAGAGGACGTTGTAGTTGGGTGTTGTAATTTCTGACTCATAGCAAGCCCCAGTGACGGGACAGAGCAGAATGGCCACCCCATGTGGCTTCCAAGGCTGCACTTCTTTATGGGATCAGATTCCTGGGTCTTTGTCCCGTTGAGGGGCGGGGCGGGGGGGGAGGTGTTCCCAACCACATCCACTTTCTGCTCCACCCCAGTGACCCTCTAACACTATTCAGAGGACACCGAGTGTCCCATATAGTTTTCAAGGGACACCCAGATGTTTGGCTGGCCTGCAGGGGCATGGTTATCAGGGAGAACCCTCTCCCTACGTCCCGTCAGAGGCAGTGAAGAGAGGTCAGCTCTAAGCATAGGTGCCAGCAAGGTATAGGTGAGCATGGAAACCTGGGGCACCTGTGGTCATGGGGACAGGAAGGGAGGGCAGGCCAGGCGGGCTGGTGCTGAGCTGCCTGTAAATGGGTTTCAGAGTTCTCACTATCAGTGACAGACTCTGCCTTTTCCCATGCTCCCATCCCACCCAGAGCAAATGGTGCACACACTGGGGCCACCAGGTGCTCTGCTGTCAAAGGTGGGGATAACTGAGTAAGTGAACACGGGGAATCTTAATTGCAAGTGTTACTAGCTTATTGTCATATAGTGGAGTATAAATGGATTTTATTAAACATACTTATTTAACATTTTTCTCTTTAGCAAGTTAAATGAAGGCCTGCAAGCTACCTTTTCTACCCATGAAGAAAAAGCCTTTCCATCTTCCCAGAGAGCTGTGGTACTTTGTAAAAACACTTATTTTCTGTATGCTACAAAAAGAAAGTAACCAATTCTGTTTTTTAAGTCTGGTAATGGGTTGGTGGAGGGTACTTGTGTGTTGCTTCTTTCCCAGGAAGCGAACTGAAGAACTTTCATAAACTTGAAGGTTGAAAAGTATGTGGGGTGATGGGTGGGAAGAGAGTGACCTTTCTCCGGTATCAAGCCTGCTAACTTTCATACGAGCAAATCCTAAATCTCAGACAACATCCAGAGACATTTGTGCTGAAACTTTGACACGAAGGCTGACAGCTTGAGCTGAAGTCATCAAGCATCTGGAAACTCAAGACAGGCATTGGGTTTGGGATGAAGATTATTAGCATACTCATTTCAATTACAGCCTATTAATCTGAACTTCCTAATAAAGTGCTCAAATCAGTGCCTATACCAAGACGGTGGAAATAAATGGCTTCCCTCAGAGAGTCTCTTTCGCCTTTATTTTAAGGGGTAATCTTTGATTCTCATGGTGCCGTGAAGATGGTGCTTCTCCAACAGCAGTTAAGTCTCTTTACAGCAGAGACTATATTGGCATAAAGTCCATCTGTGAACATCAAAACTTCTATTTGGGGGTCTTTGTAGATGGGACTTGAACACACTGGTCAGTAAGTCCCTAAGGGCAAGATAGGACAGTGGGATCTGGGTGGGGGTCCGCTTGGTCTCTGCCCTCTTGGAGATGGACTCCTCAGGTTGGTGGTCAATGTGCCCCCACTGCAGTGGGGATCGATCCCTCCACCCCAGCTCCTCCAGCACACTCTGGGCCCTCCCCAACCCTGGAGGTCCAATACCTTCCCATCTCCTCCCCCCCAGAATACTGACCTTCAGTCATTTGCAATGAGAAGATTTCTGACTTAATTTCGGGCCACTGACTTGGGACTAACAGCCTGAATCTACGCTTGAGAATGTGAGGATGATCACATTCCTAATCACGTGGCCTGACAAGTTTGGGGAGCACGCCCTCTCCTGCATAACAAAAATGTGGCCGAAGATTCTGCCAGACGTTTTACTTGTAAATTCCAGGGAAGGATTGTTGACTCAGAATGTTGTTGCTGTTGCTAGATGCCATTGAGTTTAGTACAACTCAGAGACCCTATGAACAGATCTGAACCCTGTCCCACCCTACGCCATCTTCTTCATCTCTGACACTCCTAACTAGCCCATAGTTGCAGTCACTATGTCAACCATCCCACCTTTCCCAGCATGATGTGACTCTGCAAGCCTCTAACAACATATCCAAAGTGTGAGACACGAAGCTGCACTCCTCCCAAGACAATAGCTATCTCTTTCTTTGGCACGCCACATTCAGTCTTCTCCAACACAACTCAAAGGCATCATTTCTTCTCTCATCCTTATTCACTGTCCAGCTCTCAGATCATAGCAAGTGACTGAAAAGATGATGGCCTGAATCAGGAGCACCTTAAGACTTCAAACTGACATCACTACTACTGCTGGTACCAAGGGTGTTAATGTGGATCCATGTAAGATGGAATCGTTGGCAATCTTCCCTCCATCTATCACGATACTGCTTATCATTATGTCAGCCCAGTGACAATTTTTATCTTTGATGTTTAGAGATGCACATTATATAGAAGGCTATCTTCTTTGATCTTCTGCAGCTAGTGTTAATGAGGAAAGGTCCTCACCCTTCCTCTGATCCTGATGTTACATTCTTCAGAGTCCAGCTTCTTAAAACAATTTTTTCAGTGTACAGATTGGTGTGAAGAAGCAACCCTGATGCATGTTTTCTGCCTTTAAACCATGCAGTGTTCTCTGGCTCTGTTCAGACAACAGCTTCTTAGTCTAGGAAGAGGTTTAGTGTGAGCATTACTAAGTGTTCTGGGATTCCCATTCTTCTGGATATAATTTTTTCTATTTTAAAACTAATAATCTAATAAATTTGCCTTAGTCCACCAAATGCCATCGTCTGACTCTGGACGCCGTGTGCAGCCCACCAATTCCTGCCTTGTTCTGCACTGCCTCAGCCATTGCAGTGCTTGATCCTGTCACCGTGTCAGCCCACTGTCACTGCGTTAGACCACTGCACTGAACGGCTTCCTTTTTAATTCTTTACCACGTACAGAGGAGAAATCAGCAATGTAAGATAGCACCCACTTCCCCCTTGCCATCACCCACTTATCCTTCAAGGGTGGTGACAGAAACACACAGGACAGTAAAATGGTAACAGGTGTCCCTTTTGGTTACTTCTGATCGCTGACTCGTCTGTGTTACGGCTTCAGGAACAAAGACGTCCTAGTCAATGGCCAGTTGTTGGGTTTGCTGTTTATCTGAACCCCAAGCAGCAATTTCCCTCAGAGGCAGTGACCACTGGGAGGAATCTGGCTGTGAAAGCAACCTAGTGTGAGCAATGGCTCATCAGCCCAGTGGTCCCGTTTTGTGGAAACTTGTTTAGAAGCTTCGGGTGTGGCCTCCTATTCTGCCGTGTCGGTCTTACCACTTGCTGCCATGTTGGGCCACAGAACTGCGTTGTGCACTCTTACCTTTTACTAGCCTGAGAACTCTCCTGGCCCTGTGCTAACGAGCTGCACTCCCAGCCCACAATGCTTTGACTCCACCAGTCGCTGTACAGGGGAAAGATGAGCAATCTCCTGTCTCTGCAGACTCACTTACGGGCCAGCTATGAGCTGGTTCTGATTCAATGACACAGGAGCTGGTGGAGGAAGGGGACAGACTGGAGGAAACAGAGCAGAACCAGAAGCCATCTGGAAATGGAAGCTGGGCCAACTCATGCTTTGTGAGACAGAGGTCGAAACAGGAGTTAACAGTCACTGCTCTCGGACCCTCACACAGTCCAGGGGTTTCTCCAAAGGACCTGGAGACCTGACAGGACTGAGATCACAGCCAGACGCACGTCACGTGTTTGTGTTCTCAACAGATGTGTGTTCAGATGACCAAAGATCCGACGTGTTCACAATCTGTTGCAGTTAGAACCGACTCACGGCTGGTCCTCTACTGGGTCTGAGGCTGTAGAACCATTAACCGCCTTTCTCCCGTGGAGGTGCTGGTGCACTCAGACGGCCAGAGGCACATGGTCTTTGGGTTTGCAGGGGAACTCCCAACACGCAGGCCCCCTGAGCTCCCGTGTTAAAGAGAACAGAAGCAAATTCCTGAAATGGCATACCTCTTCGGAAGCCCAATCCGCTGGCCCAGCCCTTCTGGCGTGTTCCTCAAGGCCCCTGAACACTGCTTGCTGAGTGGCGGCGCCCTGGCCTTTCTTGCCACACAGCTGTGTCCATTACCCAGTGGGCTGGGTTCTTGGTGGAAGCAAAGAAACCTGCCCTGTGACGGAGTCAGGGCCTTCACAAAGGTGCAGGGAAGTCTTAGGGGCAGGGCCATCTGTTTTGCTGGAAACCTGCTCCCGGTTCCCACATTTGTGCAGGTTGCTGGAGTCAGGGGTGGGCTGAGGGGAGTGTCTGCCGAGCAGAGGCTGGTCACTGCCTCCCACCAGAGGGGGCGAGATCTGTGGTCCATCAAAGAACTTACCAGAGCCACTTGGGTGTGTCCACTTTCCTAGAGCTGAGCTGTAAAGCTTGGTGACATGCAGAGTTCCCTACAGGGGATCCTGACTCAGTTTGGAATTTGTATCTTCTGTAAAATAATCTGTTAATGATTCGTTATTGTTTCCCCCAACACCTCCCGCTAAAAACAGCATTATGCTTTTCAAGGTAACACTGGCTGCGGGTGGGTGGGTGGGAATCCCACTGGACAGCATACAATCTTTCCCATTAACACTCTCACGCTTGTTGGAAAACAGTCACAGTGAAAACCCAACAAAGTCAATTTTTATTAAAATCAGAGCACCAGTCTGTCCCGAAAGCTTAACAGAAAGAGGTGACAAGCAGTGCTGCCTCAGATGTCTTCATGGACAATGAAATTGTCCGCCCGACTGGCCAGTGAGAGGACACTGGAAGGTGCTGCATGCTTGTCAGTGTCCACTCACATGAGGTCATAAAATAGGTTTAGAAGTCTGCACACGGTTATTTAAAGGGGGGCAAAATGTCAGTAAAAATTTGCTGGCTGAGCACACTCGTCATCCATACCTCTATCCTCAGAACCTTCTAATTCCCTCACTTACAAGCAATACAGACTCGGGAAATGCAGGCGCTTCCCCTTTTTAACTCTTCCCTGCAGGGAAAACTAACGCCTTAGAGTAAGGGCTTCAAAGCATGGCACCGAGACGTGGATTCACCCAGGACGGTGGATGGCTCATCCTTGAGTGCAGTGCTGACCTTCCAGAGAGCACCTGGGGCTGCAGCTCGTCTACACTGCACGTGAAGGGAGGTGAGAGCACCCAGGGCTGCGGCTCGTCTACACTGCGCGCGCGTTGACGGAAGGTGAGAGTGCCTGGGGCTGCGGCTCGTCTACACTGCATGGGCGTGACGGGAGGTGAGAGTGCCCGGGGCTGCGGCTCGTCTACACTGCGTGCGTGTGACGGGAGGTGAGAGCGCCCAGGGCTGCGGCTCGTCTACACTGCGCGCGCGTTGACGGGAGGTGAGAGCGCCCGGGGCTGCAGCTCGTCTACACTGCATGTGACGGGAGGGGAGAGTGCCTGGGGCTGCGGCTCGTCTACACTGCGCGGGCGTGACGGGAGGTGAGAGCGCCCAGGGCTGCAGCTCGTCTACACTGCGTGCGTGTGACGGGAGGTGAGAGCACCCGGGGCTGCGGCTCGTCTACACTGCATGTGACGGGAGGGGAGAGTGCCTGGGGCTGCGGCTCGTCTACACTGCATGTGACGGGAGGGGAGAGTGCCTGGGGCTGCGGCTCGTCTACACTGCGTGGGCGTGACGGGAGGTGAGAGTGCCCGGGGCTGCGGCTCGCCTACACTGCGCGTGACGGGAGGTGAGAGCGCCCAGGGTTGCAGCAATGCAGCACGTCTACACTGCCATATGGCTGGACGTGTACAAGGTGCGCCATCATACTTTTTGGAGAATGTTATGACCACTAAAGTGGGACCCCTTTTTGCCTCACATACCCACCTTCCTGAGAAGCAGAACAAGCTAGCTCCAGGGCAAACACTGTCTCCTTTCATGTGGTGTATGCGAGTCCACCCCAACCACGGCTCCCCACACTGGATGTCTGGCTGCCACCTCCTTGCAGCACAGGAAGTTTTCCGGCATTAGGATTACTGGAAAGGTGGCTCTTGTCTGCCTTTCATCAGAAGACAAGGGAAAAGTGAAACTGGGATACAGTCTGAAGGGAGTAACCTGGCCCTGAACACAAGAGCGAGCTCTGAGGACTGCATAGATTCTGCCTCAGTCTCATGTAGGCATTAGGGGTCCCCCCCTTCACATCTAGTGTCCTAAAAACATCTCTGCGTGGCTCTAATTTACCCCAGGAGACAAGTCTAGAAGGACAGACGACAGTCCTCAGACCCAACCAGACTTATCAAATGCTCCTCCTCCGCAGCTGTGCTAGAGAGGTTTGAGTAAAAAAGGACCACTCAAAAAAGAAACAAACTAAATTAATAAAACGAAAAAAGGACCATTCAAAGGAATAGAGAAATGATACGTGTCATCATATAGACTGGTTCAGACAGCCTCTCGAGAACAAACGTCAAACGCACATTCAAAGGAGCACGACGGAGTTACATGGTTAGGACACACTGACGGAGTGGCTGCGGCTGAGGTCCCCACAAGTGGGAAATGGCTGGCGACAAGTTGCTTGCAAACCCAACTAGTCACAGAATACTTCAGAAGTGATCATTCTTCAGAAGCAATGCCATGTGGGTAAGATCAAGTCCTCCGCACTCAATCTACAGGAGGTCAGCAATCCAAAGACATTATTCCTTGAAGCTGGCATGATTTATTCTTTCAGCGAAACAGGGTTCCTTCCATCAATTCACGTTTTACAAAGGTTTCCTTTGGCCAACTAGAGATATCCATGTCTAAATATTTTGCCAAGACTTTGACGAGCACACGTCTTCCCTGACCTAGCCAAAAAAAACCCAATTTTCAATCTAATTCTTCCCACAAACTGCTGCTCCCAAACTCCACGTTCCTTCCACATTATAAAGGCAGATGGCACTGTCGGGGGTATAGTCCTTGCGAAGGAGCTCACAGTCACTGCCTAAAAAGAACCAGGGCCCTGTCCACGAGGCGGAACCCTCAGAGCAAGGCCCCGTCCATGAGGTGGCCAGTAGGGAGCTGAGGCAGCTCCACCAGGAGCTCATGGCGAAAAGAACACCCACTTGCCCCCAACAATCAACCACAGAGAAAGGAGGCCACATGTGGGCTCGGAGTCTTCCATGGAATCAACAGCACAAACTCAGAAACTAAGGAAAACAGTTTTGAAAGCCTGCTTTACACACTACTTCTACAGACAAGAAGGAAACAAAAAGCAAACCCAATCATTTGTTTTCCTGATTTTCTTTAATTCAGTTGCCATCTTACATGATACACTACTCGACGCCTTCTAATCTACCCTTTCTCGGCACTGTCAGCACCTCAGGACTCAACACCACTCACATTGATGGTGGACTTGTGTCAGCACTGCACACTTAACCCATCACCCCTCACGCTGGGCCACAGCTGACGGGGAGTGGTACTTTCTTTAAAAAAAAAAAAATTATTAAAATAAAATAAAAG